GGCGCGCGCCCTGGCGGTCCCGGGCGTGCGCGCGCTGGTGGATGCGGAGGCCCACCTGGTGGCGGAAGCAGCGCTCGCACTCGGGGCACGAGTGGGTGGCGGGCCGAGAGTGGGTTTTCTGGTGCTTGAGCAGGTGCTGCTTCTGGCTAAAGCGCCTGGCGCACTCGGGGCAGCAGAAGGGCCGCTCGCCCGTGTGGTGCCGCTGGTGGCGGGCCAGGTTGGGCTTCTGGCTGAAGCTCTTGCCGCACTTGCCGCAGGGGTACGGCTTCTCCCCGGTGTGCGTGCGCTGATGGATCTGCAGAGACGACCACCAGCTGAACCTCTTCCCGCAGTCCAGGCACACGAAGTGACCCTCGCCGGCAGAAAGCGGGCCGGAGGCCGTCCCCGGAACCCGGCCTGCCAGCCCCGCGTCCTGCTCAGTGGGCGGGGTCCACCTGGGACCCCCCGTCTCCTCCTGTCTCCCCAAGGCTCGAGGCTTCCCCATGGTCTGGCATGGCGGGAGGCCCCGACGCTGCTGGAAAATGTTTTCCTTATCCTTCCTGCAAAGGGCCGTCGGTGGTGCCAGGGTCTGCAGCAGCCACTCCGGCTTCTCCTGTTTGATCTTCATCACCAGCCCATCTCCTGCCAGAGGCGAAGGGAGAGAGGACGGGAGAGTCAGTCACTGCTCAGTGGGTGGGAGGAAAAGACGCACTGGGAGGGCAGAGCACAGAGGAAATGAGGCAGGAGGCAAAGCATGCAGAGAGAAAAGATTTTAATGGGCAGAAGAGGAAAAGGGGCAAGGAGAAAGCAGAGAGTAGGGTAAGGTAGGAAAGACAGTAAGGTGAGGGCAGGCTGGGGTATGAAGAAGGGCAAAGGGGAAAATGCAAAAAAGGAAAGATAGTTGAGTACCACCCACTGTGCCCTGAGGCCCAGGAGACGAACAGGCCAGAGAGCGTGAAAGACAACAATCCAACAAGGTCTTCCCACCCAGGGAGCAAGCAGAAACGGCCAAGTTTCTAACGTCTGTTCTTTTTCTAAGAGGATCCAAGCTCGTGCTGGGAGCTTACTAAGTGAGTCCAGGCCCAGTCCCTCAGTGGCTGGGTGAGCGAGCCGCACTTCACTGCTGGGCTCTCTCCAGGGCAGTAGCCACGGTACCTGAGTCCCTCACCTGCTTGGACCTTGGCTATTTGGCAAACTCACCTTTCTTCAACAAAACCAAGAACAAGAAAGTCTTAGGCCTTGGAAGGCCTAAGAAAGTTCTCAGCACCCAGAACGGATGTCGCCTTGTATTAAACCTAGAGTCCACTTTACTCTTGAGAGTCCCACACACACAGCTGCTCAGGTCTACAGGGGTGCTTTGTTCCCCTAGCTCATGGCCATCAGCACGATGGAAACGGTCTGCTACAGACCAAACACAG